AATGAAATTTAATTAACCCCTCAATTCTACCTACTTAGAGACGCTTTCACCCACTTCTTTATTTTCCAGATACCAAGAGTTAACCCTTTTACCCCTCTGAGATAGCAGTGGGCTGGAGTGGAAATGGCATGATCCCCAGCAGTTACCTAGAAATTTGGTTGAATGCCTGGCCTCCAAACCAAGTTGGAGAAATGTTCTTGGAATTTGGAGCATGAGAACCTGAATTTCAATTCCTGATTTGCCATTCAAATGCTGTGTGACTTTGGCCCCCTGAGCCTCTGTGTTTCCATCTATAAAATGGTGATGATGAAGCTCACCTGGAATAGTTTCATAAAGATTAACTATTGAATACCTATAAACTATTCAATTCACCTTTCACAATCCCTAGTACCTATTAGGTACTCAGTAGGTGGTAGCTATTGTTATTATGAAAACCTGTAAAATGGGGATCACATAAACTTCTCAGAGATGATGTAAAAATTAAGTTTATAGAGATGTGTACAGATCTAGCACAGTAATGGACATACAGTAGGCAGCCAATGAATGTTAATTATTCTTTTCTTTCAGTCTAAAAACTTCTTGGCTCCTGACACTAATATAGCTCTTATTACCTTCATTATAACTACTTACTTTTTTATCTCACCACTGAACTGTGACCTCATCAGAGAACGGACTCTGTCTTTTATTTCTGTATTCTTTGTAATTAAATGTTTGTTGATTTGGGAGAAAAAAACCTAAGACCTGGGCTCTGACTCCTAGAAGGTTTTTCTTCAATGTGAGTTTTAACTTTGGAATACTTCATCATGAACCATAGAGAAATGTCCGATGCAAGGGCAGTGGTGGAAGGAAGAAGAGTCTGGAAGAGGGATGGCCTGATGTCAAGTTTCCAAGGAATGGACCATAAGGTATTTAACAAGTCCTTTATTAATGAATAGTTTTCCAGTTTTTGCTACTATAAGCACTGCTGGAGTAGATGCCCTGGTACACTTATGTTTGCCCACGGATAGCAATATGCCTATAATATACATTTAAGGAAGTGGAACTAATGGATCAATATGCATTTAAACTTCTTATACATACTATATAATTTCCATCTGAAAAATTGGCACTGGTTTACATTCCCATAGAAGACATGTGAGAATGTTTGTTTTACATCTCCTTAACTATACTGATTTTCCTAAATTTTTTCAATTTTTTACAACTCACAGGTGAAAAATGACATTGTTGTTTCAATATGCATTTGCGTGCTTATCATGATGTGGCAGAATCAGGAGAGCTCTTCCTCCTTGGCATGCTGCTAAAGTACATCTCTCAGCATCCCTTGCATATAAGGATGACCACGTGACTAAGTCTGGCCCATGAAGAGTGGGCAGCAGTGATGTATATAAATGCCAGGCCTGGCCCTTCAAACTTTGGATGATGCCTCATTCTAATTCTCTTTCTCTCTCTCTTCCTCTTTACTTGTCTGGAGAGAAAATATTAAATGGAGAACTCCAAGGCTCTAGAAGATGACAATTGCAATAAGGAAAAACCCCGGGTCTCCGGACAATTGCAGGGAATAGAACACCCCTGTCCAGCTGCACTGAATTATGATGCAAATGAGAAATAAACCGTGGTCGTGTTGAGGTGCTGTGATTTGGGATAATTTGTTACAGCAGCATGTTGCACACTGCTTGTGTTGCCCTTTAAGATCCTTTTAGACTCACTTCTTATGCAAGCCACTGCTAGAGACTTTGATGATCTCCACATGGGTTTAACTGGAGACCACCTCATCTCTGATCTATGCTACATATCTCTTTCAACATGACCAGGGGCACCTTTAACATCACAGCAGAAGAAGCCCCACAGGAACCCACTCAGCATCACATAAATGCAGCTCATAGGTGTGGAGGTATAAAATACAGAATAATGCAAGGAGAGAGAAATAAAAGATATAAAAATTTGAAAGGGAGAAGGAAAACGATCATTATTTGCAGATAACATGACTATTTACATAGAAAATCCTAGAGAATCTACAAAACACATATTAGAGCTAACAAATGAGTTTATCAAGATCGTAGGATACAAGACAAATGCACAAAAATCAATTTCGTTTCTAAATACTAGATGTAACAGTTGGAAAATAAAATTTACAAAACAAATAGACAATAGCACCAAAATCACTAAATACATGGGGATAAATTTAATGAAAAATATGCTTGACCCCCCACAGTGAAAAGTCTAAAACAATACTGACAGAAAGATTAAAAATGCTAAATAAATGGAAAGGCATACCATATTCATGGATTCGAAGACTCAATATTGTCAAAAATGTCAACTGTCTCCAAACTGACCTCTATATTCAATGCAATCATAATTGTAATCTAAGCAGGAATTTTTTATAGAAATAAAAAGGTGGTTCTAAAATTTATGCAGAATTCCAAACACTTATAAGAGCCTAAACTATCTTGAAATAGAACAGACTTGGAGAACTTGAAATTCCTGACTTTAATTCTTACAATAATGCTACAGTAATCAAGACAATGTCACATTGGTGAGACAAAAAAAAAAAACAAATAGATCCATATAAAGTAAAATAAAGAGTTTAGAAATAGACCCACATTTATATGTTCAACCTGATTTTTTACAAAGATGCCAATGCAATTCAATAGAAGAGTCTTTTCAACAACGATTATGGTAAAACTGGGTACATCATATGCAAAAATTATCTTGAGTTGCATTATACACACAAATGAAAAAGCTAAAACTATAAACCATAAAGGAGAAAACAGAGACTATATTTGTGACCAGGAAATAGGCAAACTTTTCTTAGGATGTAAAAACAACAACTGTACATTTAAATATTGATCATTTAGACTTCATCAAAATTTAAAGCTTCTGTTTATTAAAAGGCACTGTAAAGTAAATGAATAGGCAAGGCACTGATTGAAAAAAATATTAACAAAACATTTACCTTACCAAGGACACGTATGCAGAATATATAAAGAACTCCTACAACTCAATAATAAAAGATATACTAACGACCCATAAGTACATGAAAAAGTGTTCAATAACACTAGTCATGAGAGAAATGCAAATTAAATCCACAATGAGATATCCTTACACACATATTAGAATGGCTAAAATTAAGGACTGACAACATTAAGTGTTGATGAGAATGTGGAGCAACCAGAACGCTTATACACTGCTCATGAGGATATAAAACTGTATAAATGCTTAAGGATATGTTTTGATAGTTTCTTATAATGTTAAACACACACCCATCCCTTAACCCCATAATTCTACTCTTAGGTGTTTATCCAAGAGAAATGAAAACATGCCCACAAAAGACTTATAGACAAAGGATCATAGCAGATTTATTGATAATTGCCAAAAACGACAAATAACCCAAACTTCCATCAACAGGTGGATGGATAAACAAATGTAATATATTATGCATCAGAATACTATTAGCAATAAAAGGGGATGGATTACTGATACACACAAAAATATGGATGTCTCATGCTGAACAAAAGAGATCATACATAAAAGATTATATACTCTGGAACCCATTTATGTAAAGTTCTAGAACAGGCAAGAACTAATCTATGGAAAAGTCAGAACAGTGATGACCTCTGGCAGGAGAATTTACAGAGAAGGAGCACAATAAAATAAATAATAAATAAATGCCCTGTATATTGATAAGTGTGTGGGCATACACATTCTTCAAAAAATGTTGACTTTAACACCTAAGATTTGTGCATTTCACAGTATAAAAATTTTTACATAAAAAGAGGTGAAAATAGGGGGATGGCCTGGTGGTGTAGTGGTTAAGTTCATGCGCTCTGCTTTGGGGGCCTGGGGTTCACAGGTTCTGATCCCCGGCATGGACCTATACACTGCTCATCAAGCCATGCTGTTGCAGCATCCCATATACAAAATAGAGGAAGATGGACAAAGACGTTAACTCAGAGCCAATCTTCCTCAGCAAAAAGAGGAAGATTGGCAATGGATGTTAGCTCAGGGTCAACCTTCCACCTCAAAACAAAACAAAACAAAAACAAAGAGGTGAAAATGAATACTGAGCTCTAGTTAGTAGGGTTGATTTCAAAGAGGTGTGGGTTAGAAATTTGTCAGTTATTTTCCTGAGTTCCACACTGTAAAATAATGTTCTTGTTCTTAGGAAATAAACAGTAAAGGATATGTGACTGAGGGGGCACAATATCTCTAATCTACTCTCAAATAAATTATAAAAAGTAATAAATAATTGTGTGTGTGTGAGAGAGAGAGAAGGAGAGAATATGATAAGCAAATGAGGCAAAATATAAACGGTTTGTGACAATACATAAAGGTATATCGGAGTTTGATGTGTTCCTGAAACTTTCTGTAAGTGTGAAATTGTATCAGAATTCAAAGTCAATAAAAAAAAAAAACTAAAGAAAAAAACAAGCCATTGGCGACAACATGGATGGAAACACAGAGAACAAAGCAAAATGAAAAAAGCAAAAAGAAAAAGCTAAAACACCGAATGAATACCCCCATGAAGAAATAAAAAAGAACAAAAAAAAACAAACACAAACCAACAAAAAAAAAAAAAAAACAAGACAGATCAAGACAATGGAACATTACAAAGACACAAAAAAGAACCAAGTACAGATAAAAAATACAAAATGGAGGAAACTCAAAAACACAATACAAAAACAAAGAACACACACAAAAGAACAAGAATAAGAAAATGCCAGATATGCAAACCGTCCAAAACAAACAAAACCAAGCAGACAGAAAGATGAGTGACCACTCAGGGACAAGGCATCGGGGATGACGAGCGACCTCAAACACACAGCGCATTCTTCTCATGGGGAAGAAAAAGTTCGGGAATGAGAGAGAGAAAATGATTGCACAACATGGGGAAAATACAAAAAAACAACGGAAGAGCACACTTTCAAAAGGATGCGTCGCAATAAAACGCCAAAAAAGAGATAAAGTCAGAACACCACAAGCCCCAGGACACAAGACCAACATCAAGACCAGTGGAGAGTTCTCCGCAAAACTGCCTGGACCTCCTTGTTCCGCAGGCAGTAGATGACAGGATTGCACGTGGGCGTGACCACTGTGTAGATGACAGACAATACCTTGTTGAAATCCATGGCTTCTACGCGGTTGGGACGGGCATAGATGAATAGAGTGGCTGAGTAGAAGATGCCCACCACAACCAGGTGCGAGGCACAAGTAGAGAAGGCCTTGTAGCGGGCAGCAGCTGAAGACATGCGGAGCACAGCCACACCAATGACCAAATAGGAGGCCAAGGCCACGAGCAGGGAACCACAGAAGATGACGATGGCAGAGATGAAGTCCACCAGCTCTGTCAGGGCCACGTGGGTGCAAGACAAATTGAGCAGAGGGGAGACATCACAGAAAAAGTGATTGAGAACATTGGGGCCACAGTAGGACAAGCTGGAAATGCATGCTGTCTTGACCACTGAGACCAGCAGCCCACCAAGCCACGAAGACAAGGCCAAGCCCAGGCAAACCTGGGGCCTCATGAGCAGTGGGTAGTGGAGTGGGCAACAGATGGCCACATAGCGGTCATAGGCCATGGAGGCCAGAAGGGTGCACTCAGTACAGATGAGGGAGACAAAGAAGAAGAGTTGGGTCATGCAGGCTGTGAAGGACACAAGGCAGGGTCCAGTCCACAGCCCCATGAGCAGGCTGGGCATGGTCACTGACACGTAGCACATCTCCAGGCAGCTCAGGTTGCCCAGGAAGAAGTACATGGGCTTGTGGAGCTCACTGTGACTGCAGATGAGGTAGATGATGAGCGTGTTCTCCAGGAGGGTCAGCAGGTAGAAAGTCAGGAAGACGGCAAACAGGACATCCCTTATGTCTGGCCTTGTGGACAAACCCAACAAGACAAACTGCTGGACTCTGGTCATGTTTGTCAACTCCAGGGACCTCTCCATCTGTGTAGAGACAAAGTTTGTTGACATTCTGGTTCCTGCAGAGACACAGTAGTAAAAAAAATATCGAGAGGATGTTCACAGTGCCTGGAGACCCTAGGGATTTGGCTAGCCGAACTTCTGTTGGAAATTGACTGTTATAGAGAGAGATGATGTGGATTCATGAGACAAACTCTGAACATGAGATCATTGTCTTTACTCTAGTCGGTCTTCTTAGTAAATCTGTGTCCTCATAGAAACAATTCCACTGCCTGAAAATTGAGAGAATAACACTTGCCTTCCATCAGGTTGTTATAATAAATAAAGCAATGAATGGCCAATTGCAATAATGAATAAAAAATTAGAATTATTGTTGTTTTGGTTCTGAAGAAAAGCACTTTTTGTTTGTTATTTTTTCTTTCTTTTTATGCTCCACACAGGAATTTAGGAGTATTCTATAATTCTGGAGTAGAGCAAGACTGTCAGCTTTCTTATTCAAAAACCTTCCTCTTCTCTTAACACGAATTTATTTCAAGAATTGTATTAGACTATAGGTCGCCAATGATAACATTCCAGAAGCGCAGAGAGGGAGGAATTCCCTCAAAAAATGAGATGGCTGTCAGCAAATGTTGGAAATGTCATTTGTTGTACCCAATCTCTGTAATCATATTCAGACATAGGCATTATTTCCCCATTGATACATTTCAGAAAGTTGAAGTTCACAAAGGAAATTATTAATGTAGATTGGGGCACATGATCTTATAATTAAAGTTTCTATAATTCATAATTAACACTTCTATAATTCCTACTATGCATCACAAAACCTGGTTATCTTCTTTGGTTCTGTGCCACAAAGCAGGTGCAGAGCTCAAACAGGTAAATTCACTTGCCGAAGACCACACAGCCAGGAAGCAAACAGCTGGATCAGACTTCAGTGATGTTTAATTCCATTGCCCCACATCATCACAATCAACCCTGAAAAATCTTCTATGCCTGAGAAGTAGAGGGGAGAGTAAAGAGCTAACAAATAACCCAACTAGAGAGTCCTTCTGACTATAGAGTATCATTCACAGAATTCATTCAATGACATTTGTTGAGCTTCCCTTTATACACTAGACACTGGGAGTACATGGGTGAACACACAAAGACAGTCCCTGTCTGTAGTGAGCTGACTTCTTGTGAGAAAGAGAGACAATGAACAAGCAAATCAATAAAAAGACAAGGAATTTCAGAAGGGGTTAGAGTTACGAAGAAATGCATAAATGGCCTTGAGATAGGGAGTTGAAGGCTACTGAAGCTAAAATTATTGGAGGTATAATGAGCTGACAGATGCCCATAATGGAAATAGACAGGGAAGGCATGCAGGGCAAGTGAATAGCAAGTGTCCTCTGAAGCACCACAAGAGATATACTCCATATTCACCCAGATTCTCACATATTGACATATTGGATTCTTAGCAATAACGTGCTCACTTCTCCAGATGATATGTCCAAATCCTTCAACCATATCTCTAGAACCAAGCCTTCCAGGACCCCTCTCCTTAACGGTAACTGTTTTGCACAAGATCAAGAGATCCCATGAATGGAAAACAAATACACAACCCCATTTGGCCATTCTCTCCGGGACCAACTCCAAGATGATATAAAAAATTCAGCTAACGTATTTAGGCCCAAGATCCCTAGATGATCTGACAGCCCTCTGTTCAACTTTCCTACCTGCAAACAGAGAGAGTAGGAATTAATCTCTCTTTCTCCATTCTCATAAGTAATAGGCACTTTATTTCATGCCTTTTTCTTATCAGATAACACATTTACAGGTAAAAAAAAAAAATCAAGTAAATGTCATTCTTATCCTTCACACCTTGTCCATTAGCCACCACCCCCTCCTCCCCACCAAGAAAACCACCAGAGTGTCTCCTGGGAGTACTTCCAGAGATAGCTCCTGTGAATACTCTCGTGTATAGGTACATGGCCCTTGGTACATGTAAAGAGTAGCATACTAGATATGCTTTATTCATCTCAAATCTTTCACTAATAATATATCTTGAAGCATTATTAGTGAAAGATTTGAGATGAATATCTTGAATATCTTGAAACTAATCCCATATAATCACGGAGCTGACCTCATCCCTCTTAATAGCTGCATCTTGTGTAGATGCAGCAAAACAAACAGTTCCACACTAGAGATCTCCTCAGCTCCCCCAATACATCATAAAGATCTCAGAGTAGACCTGATTTGTCCGTTAATTTCCAGATCCTAGCACAGTGCCTGGTATAATGATTTCATTTTGATGAAAATAACACATCAATGGGAGGACTGTAACAGCAAAGAGCTTGAATACAAAGACAACAACGCATTTGGGCTTCACCCTGTATGTAATGTGGATTCAGGGAGGGCATGATGAGGGCTTTGGATTCATTTAAGAAACACTGATGTCTGTGGGCACATTCTCCAACATTTATTGAGCACTTCCTGTGTACCAGGCCCAATGCTAAGAACATCCATACATTAACTCATTTATTCCTCACAAAAACTCTTGTGAAGTAGAACTTCTAACACCATCTGATAGAGAAAAGAGTGTGCTGGGCACTTGATGGGAATGCATCTCTTCCAATAGGGCTCAGAGTGTATAGGTGGAAATAGACTTTATTAAACAAAATCTAAACTCTAACATAATTCCAGAGACTGAGATGGGGAGGGTGGTGACTGACTACATTTGTTCTGGCCATGATGGAAGTGACTCTGAGGAGATGATACTTGAATGCAGATTTGGAAGACGAGAAGCGTCCGGAAACGTGCAGAGTCGAGGGGAGCAGCATTGTGAACGGAGGGAATAACAAGTGCAAAGACCACAAGATGAGAAGGGAATGGCGGGTACCATGGCTCCTGAGGAGGTCTTTCAAGCTGGGCTCAGGAGCAAGAAGACCAGGAGATGAGACTGGAGGGGTATCCAAGGACCAGTGCACACGAAGCCTTGGGAACGTAGGATTTTTACAGTTATTTGCCACAACTAAAAATGCAGCAATGATCACAGGGTTTCTCAAGTCGTTTTCTTAATTTTGCAGGTGCTGTGCCAGGGGTTTTATAAGTTATTTTATTCAGTTGTCTCAAGGACCCTGTAAAAAATGCTATCATTATCCTTATTTTACCAGGAGGATGACTGAAGGTCAGAAAGTAAAAACAATCTGCCCAAAGTCATATGGCCAAAAAAGGAAATGGGAACAGAACAAAATTATTCTAATACACATGTGCAGCCACCCTTTCTGAATATTATAACAATCAGCATTCTAAGTGCCAAGTAATAATCACAGTGGTAGTAATAATAATTACTACGTGTTAAGCTCTTTCTGCACCCCACAGATTGTGCTAAATGCATTCCATGCTTTTCTCAAGTCTCACAAACCTCCATGAAGATGCTATTACTATTCCAATTTTTCAGAGATAAATCAAGCCCAGAGAAATAAGCAACCTTCCCAAGATGCAGAGCAATGACTACTAGACCTGGGATGCAAACTGAGGTATCTGTGAATCCACATCCCACCTTTTCTCCACATCTTCTAACGACTTTTTCTATCTTTAGTTCTAGTAGAGTTTCCACTTCACATTTTAACGTATTGAATTGAATAAACTAATGAGAAAAGGCAATATCTGCCAAATTTTTAGAATAAAGATGCCTGTTCTGCACAAGAACATTAGAGATGGAAGGTGCTTTGAGAGACGGCCTTTCAAGATATCTAAGCAGGAACCTTGTGGAACTTCACGCATGAAAGAATTGTTGCTATTATTTTTTTCTAGTTGCCGAGAATCTGAGAAGCCAGATTTGTAGATGTTGGGAAATGTTTGATCTTAAGGTTCTGTACAAAGGCATAAGGAAGATGAGCTAACTTAGTCCTTGGGACATACAAATGTTGTGTACATTACTACACTTACTATACAGATTAAGAAAGTGATACTCAGGAATGTGAATCCACCAATCCGTTTTCTCAGCCGTTAAATAGAACTTGTACTACAATAAACACTTCCAGGAGTAAGTCCAGTCAACTCTTCATAGTCTCTTGAATCAGACACCAGTCCAAGGTCCAGGTATACTTCATCCCAGTGATGCGACTTTGGACTCCTTGCATCTTTCTGAGCCTCAGTTTCTGAATCAGTACAATGGGGTTATTTCCATTTTTCCTCATAGGATTATTGGGAGGATTAAATAAAAAATACAGTCATATGTAGTTGGTGGTTCTAAAACCTCAGACTTTTATCAAAGTTCACGCCAGCGTCAGTCCAGGTTGGGTGGATCTATCTTTTGTCCCTGTAAAGGTCTCTTCACACTATGGGCCAGCCCCGTGGCTTAGCGGTTAAGTGCGTGCGCTCCGCTACTGGTCGCCTGGGTTGGGATCCTGGGCACGCACCCACGCACAGCTTCTCCGGCCGTGCTGAGGCCGCGTCCCACATACAGCAACTAGAAGGATGTGCAACTATGACATACAACTATCTACTGGGGCTTTGGGGAGAAGAAGGAAGAGGATTGGCAATAGAAGTTAGCTCAGAGCCGGTCTTCCTCAGCAAAAAGAGGAGGATTAGCATGGATGTTAGCTCAGGGCTGATCTTCTTCACATACACACACAAAAAAAGGTCTCTTCACTAGCTGAGCATCAGTCCTGTCTGGCGGGATGGTCCTTGGTACTGAACATGGTCTTCCCAGGAAGTTGGGTTTGGCTACTGGTGGTAATCTCTCTGCAGTCTTAAACAAGAACCCTCACCTTATCAGTTTCCGGTTCCTCATGTCTTCAATATTAAAAAGGAGTCCTCGCCAGCCCACGTTTAGTAATGGTTGGTGGAGGTCTCCTTTGTTCTGGAGAAGACGTCCTCATCCTCCACTCTCCCTACGTCTTTCCCTCCACTGAGATTTCTTGCTTCCCCTCATTTGTGATTCTGCCTCTGATCTTCATTATTCTCCCATCCACCTTCGCTCAATACTCACATCCTTCATGAATCCTTTTGGAGTTACCTTTCCTAACTTAGGACTTCAGATGAACCAACATATCCTTGGATAAACTGTAGTAAAACAAATACCTGCACCCCAAAGGGTCACATTAGCATCCTGAATCCCAGAACTAGATATTCAGAGACTATTCCATCTCAAAAATATTCATTACCCATGAATTATTTGCTAACAGCTATGCTAGGTTTGAAGGAGATATGGTAGTGAATAAGAACTTTTGTTCCTGCTCCCCAGAGGAATTTGGGCCATAATGCTTTCTATATCTGTTGCTTTGAGCATTCTACTTAATCTCTTCATGCCTCAGCTTTATGTTATTCAAAAATATAGATAATCGTCTCTCCCTTGAATTACATAATTTCTCCACTGTAGGAACAGGGCAACATAGTGTGGTGGTTAAAGCTTGGGCTCAGAGTTATACAGAAGTGGGTTTGAATCCTGCTGTCCCGAACAAAACTCAGACTTTCTCTCATGAGAAAACAGACTCTTGGTTGGTAAAGTCTTTAATTCTACTCCATCCCACAAATATTTTTAAGTAAGGGCTTTGTGCAAAGAAGCAGTGTGCCAAGAGTGGTGGATATAGGGACATGAATGAACCTAGGTTGTAGCCTCAAAATGTTTAAGAACTTTCAAGCAGTGTAACTCTAAGTTACTTAATCCATATTATCCTCCTTTGCCTATTCCGTAATGGAGGAGTAACTGTTATTCCCTTAGAATTAATAAATTCCATATAATAGTAGCTACTAAATGCAAGCCTTCTTTGAGATGGTAGAACATAGTGGTTAAAAACAAAGACCTTGAAGTTAGACAGACATGAGAAACAGGTTATTTCTCCATACTAATTGTGTTGCCTTCAGGAAGCCATTTGACCTACTTATGCCATGTGAATTAATATACAATATGGACATAACTACTAAGTGAAGGTTAAATCAGTTACTATCTTTAAAATATTTAGAGTCGGTACCTGGTATGCCTTGGGAATTCTATAAATGAAAGTTTCTTTCTGTTGTTCTTTGTCTTCACCCCCAAAGAATAACATTTGGTTTCCTCATTTGATGGTTGAAGGTCAACAGGTACAGATCCTTTTTTGCTGATGCTGTACCTGGAAGAGGCTCAGATGCCCAGGTGGATTTAGCTCCTGCCTGAAAGGGGAGATGCCAAGGCATGGAAGAATTATCTTTCAGTCCATGTTGGAAGGAGCTGTTCCTGGTCCTGAATGAGATATCCACCCTACCCTTCTTTCTCTCCACTGTTCTGGATGCTCTGAGTTGCTGAGTTGACTATCTTCACAGTAGAAGGAGGCAGGGAGGCAATCTTAAGCTGGAGCTCTGGACCTCAGAGACCTCCCCTGGTCTCTGTGGATTTGGAGAAGAGGTGAAGTGGAAAACTCTTTTATTGGTGCTCTGCAGAGGCTTAATGGGAGGAGGAGCCTCATAGCCACCCTTAGTTCAGGCCATCATGCATGGACTGATTTCTTCACAAATGCCTGGTCTTGTGTTTGGAGTCTGGGATATAAAGATGAGTGGGAAACTGCTCCTGCCTTTGGTGGATCAGTTGGGTTTTATGGAACATGTTAACAAGGAAACACATGTTCGTAACTTGTTCTGAGAAGAACTAACGTGTCTGAGGACAACAGGAAAGGGCATTCTAGTAGAGATTGGAGGCTAAGAAAGTGCTTCCCATTGAAAGTAGGGGCAGTACACCTGAAATTTTTACAATGTTATAAACCAATGTTACTGCAATAAACAAAAAATTAAAAAAAAAAAAGAAAGTAGGGGCAGGAACAGATATCAGTACATTTGTGTTCATTGCAGTATTATTCACAATAGCCAAAAGATGGGAGCAATCTAAGTGTACACGGACGGAGGAAGGAATAAACAAAATGTTTATTTTGTTTATTCTATCTATACACATAGAATGGAATATAGTCAGCCTTGAAAAGGAAGGAAATTCTGACATGTGCTACAACACAGATGAACCTTGAAGACATTGTACTAAGTGAAATAAGCCAGTGACAAAAAAGACAAATACTGTGTGATACCAGTTATATGAAGTACCTAGAGGAGACAAATTCATACAGAAATAAAGTAAAATGTTGGCTGCCAGGGGCTGGGGGAGAGAGGAATGAGGACCTAGTGTTTAATGGGTACAGAGCTTCCATTTTTCAAGATGAAAAGAGTTCCGAAGACAAATGGTTATGATAGTTGCACAACAATGTGAATGTACTTAATGCCAGAGAACTGTACACTTAAAAATGGTTACAACGGTAAATTTTGTTATGTATATTTTGCCACAATTAAAATTAATATATCCTTTATATCTAACTTTAAGATATTTTTATGAATCCTTCCACACCTTTATCCTTGATCATACAAACATCCAGAAACCCAAAGTACATTGACTCCTAAGGAACTTTACCCAAACTGTTCTTTCTGACAGAGATTGCCTTTTCTCACAATGAAATCCATTCATTTTTTAAGTTTTAAATCAAACTTCACAGTCTTTGAGAAATATTTATTAACCTCTCTTTTCTCTAGCCACACAGAATTTTCTCCCTCCTCTGATAAAAGCAATATGGTAAGATAGAATTACTTCTGGAACCATGGTAAGAGATTGGTGAAGGTTGGTTAAACATTCACCCTCCAAAAGAGGTTAGAAGAACGTTCTGGAGACTTGGAGCTTGACAGGCTTGATATTCAGCTCTTGACCCAAATCTCAATAGCTGTAGGACTCTGATGCATTTCTGTGTCTCTGAACCTCCCTATAAAATTAGATAACCTTCCTTCTTCTCAGGGTTATTAGAGGATAAAATTAGTTAATGCATTTAAGTCTTTCATCTCTGTGTAAATTAAATTCTTCCCACATGGGAGCAATATTATTATTACCACGAGACAGGTATAAAGCCAAGACATCTATTAGAAAATTATATTAGCAAATATGTGTCACACATCCAGCACGGTAATTGACACTTCGTAGATACTCAATACATACTGGTTCATCTCCATCCCAGTGCTGATGATAATGGCTCAATGTACTACTATAACACCTTTCACATTGAATTATCATTTTTTAATCTTATGTGTCCTCAACTAAATAGAATTATTTCAGAAGAGAAAACTTGTCTTTTATTTCTGTATCCACAGAAGCAAGCACAGGGCTTGACCCATAGTGAATACTCCAGGAAAGTTTGACGATGCGGGTGAGGGGTGGGGGGCTCTGCTTCCCACTTCCTAGAAAGTTCCCAGTCTCATAGAAAATAACCCTAACTTTGGAAGGCTTTCTCACCATACATACAGGGGTGGGGGAGATAGAAGGTAAGAGGAGGGATCTGGGAGGGTAGTGGCCTGGAACCCAGTGTCCCAAAGGTTTTGGGGAAATTTTGCATTCTTTGGTTGTTGGAAGGTCTGAGCTAGGCACTAGGGTTCCAAAGTCAAGGTTTATGAGGTCACGAGGCTCTCAAAGTCAGGAGCCACTGGGTCATGTTTTCAAGTAGAACCTGAAGCAACGGTTACAAGTCCAAATACCCAAGGATACCCTCTAGAGGAGAGTGCTGGAAAGTGACCTTGGCAACCCCTGGGTCCAGGCCAGACAGAGAACTGTAGTGTCGGGCAGGAAAATTGAGGCTGGTGCTGTATCATTTTAAGTCCTTTGGTTGCTAAAAAGAGAAGCTAACACTGTGTTACTTAAGCCAATAAAGAAAGTTGTTGGAGTATATGGCACTGTTGAAGGACCATATTTTCCAGGATCATGGACCAGGGCAGTTTTGGTAAAGCAGATGACAAAGTACCAGGCCCACCATAGAGAAAATTCAGCTCCATTTTCAGTCCTTGTTTCACTCAATAATCCAATTCCAAGGAGGAAGTCCTGGATTGGCTTAGTTTGGGGATTAATACCCTCTACACGGTGAGGGCGTAGAGGAACCCTACAATCAAACTGCCAAAGACAGAAGATTGTAGGGAATAGGGCAGATGTAGCTTCCCGAAGACAAATCCGGGTGCAGTTACCTGAAGAAGGGGGTATGGGTGCTGGGCAGGAAAATCAACGGACGTCCATGAGAGATGCCCCATGGTTGAGGAAAGCTGTGGCCTAGTGGATACCTGGAGGCTCAGCATTTTACCTCTTCCTCTCCCCAGTGGTACTGGACACTGGGCTCATGGCCAGATGACCACTTCTATATTCCAAGTGATATATTCCAAGAACTGAGGATCCTAGTCTTGGTCATAATTGTCTCACAGAAGTAGAGTGAGCAGATTTCAGTGGTGAAGACCTCAGACTTTCAAGATAGGAAAGACGGAGTTTGGTTACATTACAGACCATCTTCCCTTTAGTATCTGTATCTGGATTGTTGTGTTGCCCTTCTTTGTTCTTTCCTTTCTAATGAGGTATATGCTAGACCAGTAGATCTCCAGCTTGACTTTACATTGGAATCATGTGGGGCACTTTTTCTACATACACATTCCTGGGCTGTGTTCTTAGATTTTCTGATGTGGTAGATCAGGTGTGGAGCCCAGGCATCTTCATGCTTCACAACCACTCCAGGTGTTTCTGAACCACATCTTAAGAAAATGCTGCTCACTCCTGAAAGCTCACGGGGACACAGACTATGTCGTCTTATTCACCACAGCACCCTGAGGGTCTAGAGAAGTGCCCGACACACAGTTTGTCTTCAACACACATTTGTTGTTTGATGCTGAATTGAGGAGCAATCACCTAGGAGAGGTGGAAAGCTTGGCAGACCTGGTTTGATTACAAAGCACATAAACCCATTCAGCCTTGTGCAGTAGTTGTATTTTTATACTGATTGTCCCATTAGATCTCTGTGGTAATCCTGGGTGGTCGCAGGCAGAGCAGGAGCTATTCCTCACATCCTTTCCTGTTTATAGAGGATGAAATTGAGCCTCACAGGTGAAGAGACTTGTCAAACAGCCCACATCAAGCGATGTGGTTCCACACCTGAATTCCAAGTCTCCCAATGCCAATCCCAGCCTCCTGGGAATACTAGTGACTGTTTCCTCCTGAAGATAGAGTCTTGGGGTTTTTAATCTATGAGAACGGCTATGGGAATAATGAATGGAAACCATCAATTGAACACCTACTGTCTTCCAAGCACTGTTCTAGGTGCTTCCACACATCTCTTCATTTAACGTTAGCACCCAGTGTGGTAGATAAGGTTACCATTCACACTTCACAGATGGGAAAGCTGAGGCTCAGGGAAGTCAAGTCCCATACAACCAAGAAAACAAAGAGTGACTATTCATTTCCAGGTCTGTCTTCTAGGAAAACCAGATCCCTTCAAAGATAGTCTATAAGCTGAAGGGAAGGAACTTCTCCTCTGATACACTTACCCATATTCAAAAAAATATTCTTAAGAGCTTGAGAGAATAAATATATTAATTAATTTATCAGGATAGTTATTAGAGAAGAAATCAGTAAATCTGGTCACTGAAAGAGAAAGAACACCAACCCAAACTGGCTTAAGTAAAAAGTGGGTTTATTGGTTCACATAAGAGGACTTCCCGAGGGTAGAACAGACTACAGGCATGGCTGGATCCAGAAACTCAACAAACTCAACATCTTTCCCTTTCCCACCACTGGTTCTGATTTCCTTTGCACTGACTCCATTATCAAGGAGGAATTCCCCTGTTAAAGGCCAGATAGTTGCTGGCACCTACAAGCTTACGCCTTCACAGCTCCAAGTCTACGGACAAAGAGGAGTATGAACAAAAATCGCAGTGTCTGGCTCTCTGAAGTAGATTCTAATGTCTCAAATTCCTCACTCCTCCCTCTATTGATGTCACGTATAACTTCACCATTCCTCCCACAAAGAGACAGAGTTTACTTCCTTGCCCCCCTTCTTTGGATTTGGCCAAGTGACTTGCATTGGCCAATGAGATATTATTGGGTGTGATGTGACCAAAGCTTTAAAAATCCATTGCACAATTGGGCCTTCTTGCTCAGTTATTGCAATGGGAAAAATGATGCATGAGCTAACCCTCTGGACCCAGCAGGACATGTGGACCAGAGTGTCCTCCAGCTAAGCCAAGCCCGCATCTGTCAATGCTCATTTGCATGAGCAAACCCAGCTAAGATCAGAAGAACCACCCAGAGGACCCCAGCCTAGATTAGCTAACCCTCAGCTGATGCAAGATCCATGAGAATAAATAACATGTTTTAAAAAACTACATTTTAGGGTGATTCGTTACACAGCATTCTTGTGGTGATTGCTGACTGATACACTCTAGTTGACTCAAATTAGGTTCATTTATCCACCACTCCCAAATAATTGTGAGCAGGGATTGAATGCTTGGTCATGTGCCTTTTCTTGGACAGAGAGGTGAAATCAGCACCACCATGACTGAAGGAGGAAAAATTATGGTTCCCCAGAAAAATATCAGAGAGCTGCACCACATATTTGCACATAGACCCTCTGCAAAAACTGACATCAACAGCTCCTGACTCTGAAAAGTGGTCCTGAAGAGGTCATTTACGGCGTCCAGACCCCTGGTGACCGCAGCACACACACCCCAGGGCAGCCTTCACCTCCTTGTTCCGAAGGCTGTAGATGAGAGGGTTGAGCATGGGGGTCACCAGGGTGTAGGAGAGGGACACCACCTGCTTGCTCTCTGGGGAGTAGCTGGTCTTGGGCTGCAAGTGGATGACCCCCGTTGTGCCGTAAAACAGAACCACCACCACCACGAGGTGGGAGGCACAGGTGGACAGGGCCTTGTGACGCCCTGTGGCCAATGGCATCTGCAGGACAGTGGCTAAGACTCCAATGTAGGACGCCGCTACCAGACAGAAGGAAACCATGATGACCAGCACTGTGGCCACAAACACATTGGCCTCAAAGACCCTGGTGTCCCCACATACCAGGCTCAGCAGAGGGGCAATGTCACATAAGAAGTGGCGGATGCCACGTGGCCCACAGAAGGGAAAGTGGAACAGCCAGATGGTGAAGACCAGTGACACGGGGACTCCACCTAGCCAGCACGTGGCAGCCAGCAGGCGGCAGAGCCGTGGGCTCATGATGGCGCCATAGCGCAGGGGCCTGCAGATGGCCACGTAGCGGTCCCAGGCCATGGCGGTCAGGAAGAAGCACTCGGACGTGACACAGGACAGCAGAAGGAGCAGCTGCAGGGCGCAGCCCGCGGGTGACACGCCCCGCCCGGGCCGCAGCAGCGTCACCAGCAGCCGGGGCACGATGTCCAGCGAGAAGCAGATCTCCACCAGGGCCAGCTGGCGCAGGAGGAAGTACATGGGCGCGCGCAGGGCCGGGTCCAGGGCGGTCAGCAGCACGAGGAGCGCGTTGCCCAGCAGCGCGAGCAGGAGCACGGCCAGGAAGAGCGCAGCCAGCAGCGGCCGCAGCGCGGGCACGTGCGCGAAGCCCAGCAGGACGAACTCGCGGCCAGAGCTCTGGTTGGCCCAGGGCGGGGCTGCGGGGGCGCCCGGGGAGCCCAGGGCCACCGGCATGGACCCAGGGGGGACGTGGGGACCGCGCCCGGGGGGCGAAGAACCTGGGGGAGGGGAGGAGGTAAGAGGAGCCGTGAAGAGGAGAATCGCGCCTGCCTCGCCTGTGTCCCCTGCAGCGCGCGCTGCACAGAGCAGCGGAGGAGTCCTATTAAAAGGCAAATCAGATCACGCCGCACGCGGGACCCTCCTTGCACGCCCAGTGAACGTGGAGTGAGAGCCAACGGCCTTACCAAGGCCCACGAGGCCCTGGCTGGCCCCGCCCACCTCTGTGACCTCATGTCCACTGAGCTCCGTCCACAATGGCTTCTCCTGCCTCAGGGCCTTTGCATTGGCCATTCGTGCCCCATGAAATGAAGAATAAATGAGAAAATACGTGGAAGTTCTTAGCACTGGGGCTGGCACGTAGTAAGTGTTTGGTAAGTGGTGGTGAACAAGTCCATAGGCATCAGTGTTTGTTAAATGAATCCAAAACCCTCATCATGTCATTTCTATACTCCTATTACATATAAGATGAAGCTTAAATATGCTGTCATGGCATTCAAGCCCATTTAAGGAATGGCTCCCACATTCATTCATTTATTTTAGCCAGAGTGCATTCACCATAGCAGGCACTGAGCTGAGATTTGGGGATGAACAGGAAAATCAGACCTATTTCCTGACCTCATAATGCCTTGGGGTAACAGAAGGATGCCTTCCTCAGAAGGGCAACATGAAGGTGTTTTTAGAATGGCATCCCAACCCCTGGTCCCATGTCTGGTTCTATTAGATGCCCCATCAACACTTATTGCGTGCATTAACCTCTGTCTTGCTCACGATTTTATCCCTGGCACCTAAACAATGCCTGGCCCATGGTCAGTGCTGAACAAAGATTTATCGAATGGTCTCATACATAGTTACACTCCCCAGGATCTAGATCAGTGTCTGGCACACACAGTAGCAGCTCAGAAATATCTGATGAATAACCAAGGAGAGGATCTCTTCTCAGTCCTCACTGCTCCCCTCTACTTAAACGCAGTCTTCTCATAATTTCCCCATCTTCACTTGCAGCTCATTCCTGGCTGTTCCCAGTCTTCTCCACGTAGCCCCAAAATCATGCCGATCTCGGATCACGCAGTGTCTGACTACACAGCACAGTAATGAGAGCTGGAGTCAAGGATTAAGTGTTGAAGCTCTACATCCGCCATTTATTAACCCTGCAATGCCAGCAAGATGACTATTTTCCTGCAAGCCTCAACTTGTCATCTGTAAGTGGGTTTTGTAGTAAAAACAAAACAAAACCCTATGTCTCAGGACAGCTGATGAAGAAAACTAAGCCTAGAGAATATAAGTGTCTTGTTCAAAATCAAGGGGAAATTGGCACTTTTAAATTGAATAACTTTCCCAAAGTCACACTGCTGGTAAACAGTAGACCGGAGGTTCACGCTCAAGCCTTTCCATCTACGAGGTTCATACGCTCACTTCTCAAAGTTGGGGATGTGATGACAAACCACGCCAGACATCTGCCTGTGGTCCTACATTGTACCATCTCCATGGCAACCACCCTGGTCTAGGCCATGATCATCCTTCACATGAAGGATGGCATAGGCTCATAACTGGACTCTCTGCTTCTACTCTTGCTGCTCCCAATCCGTTCCCCATCAGAGCAATATGATTGAATGCATTGTGGGAAACAACCAGGCGACTGTAGTTCTCCTGAGAAGCACAGAACACACTCCTGCATCCTAGACTGGAGACTCAGTATCAGTCTCCGGGTGGACACATTTTGGATTCCTCTTCTGTTACCTGAACCAGAAAGGGTCCCCATCACCCCTCCAGGGACCCCTACCTGCCTCCACTCTTCTGAAAACTTCCCCCTAGTCTTATTTATTCAACTTGTAGTGACTGAGCCCCTCTTCTAGTCCCAGCACTGTGCTAGGTTACTAGGCTTCTCTACAGAGCACACTCTTGAGGGGCGAGAATGGAACCAGGGAGAGCTTTCGGGAGGCTACCACAGTAGTCCTGGTGAGGGATGAGAGTGGCCGAGACTATAGTGGCAGACGTTTAGAGGAGGAGATGTGGACACTTTCAGGATAAAATTTGGAGGTCAAGTCAATAGCATTCCTGATGCATTGGATATGAGGGATGGAGGACGGGGAGGAATGAAGGGTAACTCCTGGATGTTTGGCCAGAGCAACGGGATAATGTCATATACCGAGACGGAAAGACTTGGAGATGATCAAGTTTGGGGCTGGGGTGAGGAGAATGAAGGTTCAGCTTGGGACATGAGTGTGATAGTTCTGTGAGACCCCTAGTTGGGTGTCATGGAGACAGATTTACAGGTCTGGGGTTCAGCTGAGAGCTCAAGATGTGGACAAGCACTTGGGCATCATCAGCATAGAGAGACTCTTCAGTGTCATGGGTTGGATGAGCTTACTCAGAGAGACAGTGTTGATTTAATTTCTCTAAATTTCCATCTCCTCCTCTGCAATACGGGGAAGGTGTAAGAATTGCTGGCCTTAACTGGGCGGTCACTACAACTGTATGACATGCTCTTATTATCATTCTCATTTCCTGTTTGAGGAAACTGAGGGTCAGAGAAATTAAGTAACTTTGACAAAGTAAATGACGAAGTGAGGATCTAAACCCAGAGTGTCCAGCTCCAGGATAAGCTCTGTCCTATGCAGCCTCGTCACACAGTAGATAATAAATAAATAGTTTATAATTGAGTACATTATTTCCCTCCCATATCCCTGTCTTATTTACCCCAGACCCACACAGAAAACCCCCTCACTTGCCTCCCTCCTGGTGGATGAAGTCATCCGTGGCTACTCGCATTTGCACTTACCCAGTAAGACTTACGTCCTCCACTCCCTTTGAACCGTGGGATCATGTCAAAGTTCAGACAGAGCTGGGTTCAAATCCAGACTTCACCCTTTCCTGATGATGTGATCATGGGCAAGGACGTTTGCCTCTCTGAGCCTCCATTCCCTAGTCAAAACACTAGGGGGGAAACTTTTTTTTTTAAAAAAGACCTGGTCCGCAGGGTTGTAAGAATCCAAGGAAATTGCATCTCAGAGACTCCAAACAGTACCAGCCCCCAGAGGAAACCCCAGCTTGGAAAAACACACCAGTGGGAAGTGGCAGAGAGGACAGAGGGGGGTTGTGGCTAAGTGGGATGTTAATTTTACCATAACATTTTAATCTTTTTCAAGGAAAATGTGTTCATATACTATTAATATACTACCGAGTTTCATCTCCTGTAAAATGGGGACGATAATGGTAACTTCCTCATGATGTGATTAAAAGAGTTAACCAGACTAATCAATGGAGCAGGGGCTGGCACCTAGTAACAGCTCAATGATAGTCATTGTTTACTAACTATTAAAAGTAAATAATCCCACACACTCCTTAGCTGTGTGACTTTGGGACAGTTTTGTCCCCGCTCTGAGCCTCTGCTTCCGCACAAGTAAACTGGAGCTAAGAAGACCTAACCTGCCATGTTGTGAGGGCAAAATTCAGTGTCTGGGGATATCTGGGCACATCTCAGACATGGCTCCTGTGTTGCTCTCAACACTGGGAAATCAATGAGAGGCATGGAGCCTGCTCTCTTCCCTTTCATGAGCAAGGGTGTCGAGGCTGATAACTCAATAAACATTTGAAGGGCTTCAAGCTACACTCCCTAGAGTATGGATGGGATCATCTAATTATAAAACCTTTGGCTTCTTCGAGTGACCTCACCCACTTCCCTTCTGTGATTCTGGAGCCAAAGCCATCACAACATCCACACCAAGTAGTTGTTAAACCCTTGCTTGCATATCTCTCATGATGGGGAGCTTATTACCTCCCATGACAGCCCCTCCACTCCCACACTTTAAGAATGGTCACAAAGATCTTCCCACCAGCATTCACATACATGGCTGGCAGGAGTGTAAACTGGAACAAATTCCTTGGAGGGCGTAGTAGCAATATCTGCCTACACTAACACTCAGGAGTTCTCTTGGCCCTGCAGTGAGACTTCTAGGAACTTATCCTGCTGATAGATTTGCATGTGCGCCCAAAGGTCTGTGTGTGAGATTAGCTGGAGAAAAGCATTATTTCTAAGAATAGAAGATTGAAAGGATCCTAATATCCATTGATCAAGGACTGGGGAAATGCATTACAGTATATTCTCACACTGGAAAACTCTACAGCTCCTCAGCAGTCGCACGGGCAACAATGGTATTAATACATGAGAAGCAAGGTGCAGAACACTGTGGAGGGAATGCTATAATTTTTATGAATAGCAGATGAGATTATATATAATTACAAATATATAATAATATATATTAATATAATTAATATATAAATACATATTATTATAATAATATACTAAATATTTGTATATATTATATATAATATATAATAAATATATAATAATATATATACACATATATATATTTGTATATGCAACATATGCAATGGATTCTGGAAAGACACACAAGATTCTGCTAACAGCAGTTTCCTCTGGTGAGTTTCACTGGGAGTCAGTGAGACAAGAGACATTTGTCATCACATGTTCTTGGAACATTTTTATTTTTGTCCATAGCATGTATTGTGCTTCTAAAAATTTTTTTCTTCTGCAAAAATTCTAGACAGTGAAGAAAGAATGAAAGACCTTCACAAATAAACAAGCTTGCTGTAAAAATATTTGATCCACGCATGTGAGGTCAGAATAGTCAAATCCACAGAGACAGAAAGTAGAATGGTGGTTGTGGGGAGTTAGGGGAAGGAGAAGTGAGGACTGGTTTAATGGGTACAGAGTTTGAGTTTTGCAAGATAAAAAAGTTCTGGAGGTTGGGTGCACAACGAAGTGAATATATTTACTACTGAACTGTACACTTAAAATGGTTAAGATGGTAAATTTATTTTGTGTATTTTACCATAATTTAATAAAATAAAAATTTTAAAATATATTTGAAATAACACAAATATGTCCAAAATAGAAAAAGAGCATTCCCCAGAAGCCAATTCCCACTTCCAAGTGATAACCAGGGTTTATAGTTTGGCTTATATCCTTTATATTTTTGTTAGGTACACAGTGTTTTATATGAATTGATTCCTACTAATTTCATCTAACACTTTGGAATCAGAAAAAAATTAGGTTTATGAAAACTTACCTGTAATTTTATTACCCACAGATCATCCCTGTGAATATCTGATGCATTTTCTTCCAATTATATGTATAGATAGAGATTTCACTCATAAAACAAAATTACAATTGGTTATTAATCACATTTTGCATTTTAGTGGTTTCACCCATGGAATATTTTCCCACAGTAATAGAAATGTTCATAATCATGATTTTTAATGGCTGGGTT